GGATCGGCGTAGCTCCAGCCGTAGTGGCCATTTCGGGGGTGAACCAATGGAAGGAAGACCTTTCTCTCTGTCTGTCTCTCTCACTAACTCTATCTGCCAAATAAAATAAAAATAAAAATAAAATGCAAGTGTTACAGATGGATTGGATGTGAGAAGTGAGGATGGAGGAGTTAAAAATCACTTGTAGGTTCTTGTTCTTTTTTTTTTCTTTTTTAATATTTATTTATTGGCTGGAGCCACGGCTCAATAGGCTAATCCTCTGCCTGCGGCTCCGGCACACCGGGTTCTAGTCCCAGTCAGGACGCTGGATTCTGTCCTGGTTGCTCCTCTTCCAGTCCAGCTCTCTGCCGTGGCCCAGGAGTGCAGTGGAGGATGGCCCAAGTCCTTCGGCCCTGCACCCACATGGGAGACCAGGATAAGCACCTGGCTCCTGGCTTCGGATCAGTGCGGTGTGCCAGCCACAGCGGCCATTTGGGGGGTGAACCAACAGAAAAGGAAGACCTTTCTCTCTGTCTCTCTCTCTCACTGTCCACTCTGCCTGTCAAAAAAAAAAAATTATCATTTGAAAGTCAGAAATACAAAGGAGGGAGACAGCGAGAGATTGATTTTCCATCTGCTGATTCATTCCCCAAATGCAGCAACAGCCAGGGCTGGGCCAGGCCAAAACCAGGAGCCAAGAGCTTCTTCCAAGTCTCCTACGTGAGTGCAGGAGCCCAAATACTTGGGTGTGGGGAACAACTGAGACTAGACTAAGTTACTGGAATTAAGACTTATTCTATGCATCTGCTCTCCCACAATATGGCGCTGGGGAGGAGTAAACTTCTACACAGCTGTCTCTCGCCAATTTGACTGATGAGCTGCAGGAGCTGATCCTGCTCCTGATTGGAGGAGAGCAGCGTGTTTGGTGTGTGGGTAGCAGAGTTGGGATTGGCGGAAGAGGACTATAAAGGAGGAGAGAGACAACATGCACCAGGAACATCTGAAGGAACACCTGAGCAGCCCCCGAGAGAGCCGGCCGGCGGTGTGCCGCTCCTCCACGGAAGTGGGGAATGTGGCAGGGGGTACCGCCCCTCCACGGAGGTGGAGGGGTCGGCAGCCAACCCGGGAAGGACCAGCAACAAACCCGGGAAGGGCTGAGCAGATGAAAGAACAGCGCAGGGTCCTGTGTCGTTCCTCCGCGAATGGGGGAGCGACACTTGGGCCATCTTCCACTGCTTTCCCAGGCACATTAGCAGGAAGTTAGCTCTGAAGGTGAGCAGCTGGGACTTGAACAGGCACCCATATGGGATGCCAACCCTGCAGGCAGAGGCTTAACTTCTATGCCTCAGTACTGGACTGAATTCTTTTTTTTTTTTTTAAGATTTATTTTATTTATTTGAGAGACAAAGTTACAGAGAGAGGTAGAGACAGAGAGAGGTCCTCCATCTGCTGTTTCACTCCCCAGATGGCAGCAACAGCCGGAACTGTGCTGATCCAAAGCCAGGAGCCAGAGCTTCTTCCGGGTCTCCCACACGGGTGCAGGGGCCCAAGGACTTGGGCCATCTTCTACTGCTATCCCAGGGCATAGCAGAGAGCTGGATCGGAAGAGGAGCAGCCGGGACTTGAACCGGCGCCCATAGGGGATGCTGGCACTTCAGGCCAGGGCTTAACCTGTTGCACCACAGCGTCAGCCCCCCCAATTTCTTTTTATCTTGAGCAACTTAGTAAAAATCAGTGCCATTTACTGAGGTAGGGATGATGGGGAGGTAGGGAAGAGGAGCAAGTTGGAGGAGAGTTGGCAGGTGAGGCAAGGAAAGAATCAGAAGTTCCATTTTAGTATATGTTTAAGATGGATGTTAGGAGTATCTGCCCCAGGTCCACTGCCTTTTAAACCAGATTTCATCCCTGTCAGTAATCCATTCAGCAAATATATGTTAAGCTGTTCATCATGCCAAACACTGTAACACATAAGGTATAAAGCAGGAAGGAAAAACAGATATGATCCCTGCATTCAGGGGACTTATAGTTCAGTGGGAAATTCAAACATTTAAATACCACTTATATATATATTTGCATTACTTGTATGTGGTTACACTCACACATATCCATTTATATCCTAAATTTGAAGAATATATTTGAGGAAAAATCATGTGATTGCATGAAGTGTGTAGCACACAATCTCATGGATGCTATAAAACACGTAGGTCACATGAAGCGGGCTGTAAGAAGAGTGTAGTATTAAGAGACGCATTCTGACCATGGGATGCGCAGTTATTGTCGGGAGCCAGATGTTCATACTCGAGATCCCTGGTTTATAGGTGGGAGTCGGGGAAGAGAATTGTCCAAGAACACTGGTATCTAGGAGGGAACTTCAGAGGAGTAATTTGCTTTAGTTGTTTCCCGATACTGAATGTCTGAGTTAAGGCTCTTTTTGATTCCAAGGGAAAGGAACCAAAGTAACCCAAACCAGGGAGCTGGTTATGTAGCATCTAAGAGGAAATCTCATGGAAATCTGGGTGTAGGAAGTCCAGATAGGTATATGGGTATTCATTTTACTATTTGGCCTTCTTTGGCTGATATATTTTATATAGATATATACATACATACATATATTTAGGGATAAATGTAACAATTGTGTGTGTAAGTTAAAGTAGCAGTTGTCATTTAAACATATTTAGAGTAATTATCATATTCCAAGTTCTTTGGAAAATAAAAAGTTGATTAAAAATAA